TTTTTACATTTTGAAGATTTGATAAAATAGAAGTAGGTCTATAATTAATAACATATAAACATTTAAAGTAATCAGTTAATTTTTTTTAATAGTAAATATATACAAATTAGTAGATGTACTATTACGATAAAAAAAATTAATAAAACTTAAGAATGATAAATATACAAGTACCTGAAATTACTGAATTATTAAAATATAATAAATATTTATTTGCATTGACCTATGAGTTAATTGTTCAGTACCGTAACTTTGCATTTAGATAGATATAGGCCTACATTTCAACAAAATATTCCATCTCAACAACATTATAATTACGGTTTTGAGCGGAAACAGCAGAAGATTGATTGAATAGAACCACAATTATTTTCAGGTCCTACGATAGACATCATTGCAGTAAATAAAAACATTGAAAATATATATGATAATCCTATTGTACAGAATACGAACGACCCAAACTGCAGAAAAAATGTGATGACAGAAAACAACATAAAAAAACATGCGCCTAATGTTGTTAGACATCCAGAGAGAACTGAGATTCCCACGGTTTGCAACATTTCTTTGGTTTTACCCATTCGATCTTTACTCTGGGCCATGTGATAACCCTCAGCCAAGTGTACAACATAGTCTACGGAAAGTCCGACAACTAACGATAGGTTTAATGATTCCAGTGTCTGCAAAATGAAAATTCAAGATATGAAAAACCTTTATTTTCCGCCAAGGTTATGTATTAACTGCTGTCTGTCGGTCTGTTCGTTAGCAAGATTATGCAAAAACTAATAAATGGATCATCATAAAATTTAATGGAATGGTAAATAACAATCGAAGAAAGACACCATTCAATTTTCAAAAGAACAGGTCAAAGGACAAAGTCAAAGTTTACGAAAATTCAATTATTTACCCTCGAGCACAAAACAAATGGAAATTATTCGCGCGAATCGAAAGCGGTCGGTTCATTGGTTGCGCATTTTTTCGTTTCGCAAATACTCCGATAGGAATGTGAATGCGCATAAACCGACGCTTTCGTTTCGCGCGTATAGATTCGGCTAGTAGAAACATGGAGGTACCTCCATGGTAGAAAACAGGCTTAATGTCGCTGAATACGACGGGCGATTCCATTATTTTCTTGATGGTATGCATTTTCACCCATAATGTGTTTGGTATTCTGGCACATTAACACAGTACATGAAGCTCAACATCAACTTACCCCTAGTGTCCAACCTATGATAGGGATTAGTCCCATGACGCAAGCAGTGATGCAGCAGATCGTAATAGTTGCCAGGAAACCAATGATAAAGTTTTGAGTAGTCAGAACAAGCACGACGAATGCAACACTGATACCAATTGCAATGCTGCGAATTGCTGAGTTGGTTAATTCCTGTAAAATAAGTAGATAGCTTGAATTGTAATTTTATAACCGTTTCAACAAGATACGTTCAACATAAAAATTAATGTGTTGCCCAAGCACGAGGCACAACAGCTAAACTGGTGGTAGCCATTGTGTGCTCAACCATGGAAATCCTTTGGTACCTGGTTCAGTTCCATCCACTGCTCTCTTTGCGTTTTAGTACGGTATCATGAAGTTACGATATAAAAAAAAAGCATCGTCTTTCGGGGACGAGCAATGAAAGTGTCCCTGTGTATGTACTGCCCAGTCACCACCGGAAGGTCCCATGGACTGGTTTTTATGGGTTATCCTTGGTATTCACATACCCAAAATAATTCCTACAGATATTTCAACCTAATCTCCTTGAACAAACAATTTAAAAAAAAATAGCCAAAACAAAACAAAACAGACAGACAGACAGATCCAATATTTTTGGTCGGTGGGGCTAGCAGGTGATTGAAGGTAGGCGTAGGCCTACAACACGCAGCTATAACATTCGAAACACAGTTACTGTTTTATACATTTAAATTCGGGCTTCTTCTATTACTCACCTGGTCGTAAGAACCTTTTTTATCATACATACAGTAATTTATACCATGTGTGTACTTGTTTATTCAGATTTTCAATTAATTACGTGTTAAATTTCATACTTTAAACAAAGTTTTCGTTTTGAGGGCAATATTGGAAAAATAGAAGCCGGATAGATATCTACGCTTACCTCCTGAATCTTCATCCACAACCAGAAATTATAGCCAGACCCAGCAGGTGTGCATTGGTATCCTTTATTTACACCTTCGGGCATCTCCGACATCTATATGCATAAATAGTATAATTGTACAAAAATAGTTAGGCCTATGTATAGGCTACGTAATCTCAATAGTTTATTCCATTTTAATTTATTAAGCATTTCACTACAGTATGCACCAATACTTCATCATGAATCATCATCATCATCATCATTTTTGTCAATCGTCGTTGTCGTTATCATTAGGGGCAGGGGACTACACTGGAGATGGCACAGGGCCTGCCTTACTAAGAGGATGTATGGTTTTAAACAATTGAAATACAATATAATTATGTAATTTGAATAATGATAAAATGTTGGTATACGATTTACTGCTCAGAATGGAAAAATAGAACAGTACTATTATACTGTATTAATTGACGGGGTTTTATTTCTCATTTAAAATTCTAATTGTAAGTTAAAGACTAACTTACTATACAGATTATTAGCAATTCTAACATGAAATTAACGTTTTCTTTTTCTTCTATATTTTCAACTTATCATTGAGAGTACGGTATATCTTTAAGTTTGACTGACTACAGAAAGTTTCAATACCGTAGTCCGTAAGTAATCTTACCAATGTAAAAATATTCACTCTGCGAATTATAAGCCCTGTGGCTTTTGACAAAAAAAATGCCGATTAATATCTCGAGAGTTATGTCACTCGTCCCTTTCGTCATTAAGCAAGGTATTATTATTTTCTCTTTGCTATTTGATCGGTCACCGTCTTTCTGTGTCTAAACTCTCTATTTCTTCCTTACCTTTATGACATGTATACTATATTTACTTATTATTTTTAAACACATTTACCAAAGATACTAGAGCACTTTTTTTCTGTGGAAAACTCTATCTTATGTTTCTAGTATCTTTGTACTTAACAATTGCTTACCCGTTCCTTAATAAACTTTTCCCAAGTATCTAACAATGGTAAACCAATCTGATAGCCAAAATCTCCCCATATCATCGTAGTGTTGATCACAATAGCGGCGTACTTCAAACGAGTGTTTATTGATTCTGAAATAACAAACTTAACATAAATGCTTCTTTTTTTCTGAGGCGTTTAAAAAAAATGATAATAGCTTTTTAATTCTCTAACGTGGGACTGAGCTTTCATTTCACTCGCAATTATTTTTTTTAGTGATACTATATAAATCAGTCATCTTCATATACAAAAGTAAGCCTAAAATTGCCAAAGAGAGAGTAAGAAGTTTTAATTCAATCACGCGTAGTATAGCATGGCTCTAAATATCCTATGATGACTTGAATTTAAAAAAAAAACCTGAAATTGTAAAATTAAGCTGATTTAACCAGATCCCCCAGAAGGGATTTCTTCCTACTTGGTATCCCTGACATTCTAACATCAAAACATTTCAAACCCAATATAGCACACTCAGCATATAAGTTGTCTTACCCCCACTGCTTATTTTGAATGTGTTTCCGATCGCTTCTTCTCCAAGATACCCGTGGTACAGTGAATAATCATTTTCTTGTAGGCCTATTTCCTTATGTCCATCCGTTAACCAATAGGCCAAGCCAATTTCAAATAGACGATCATCTGTTGTTAAAAGGCTATTATTGTAAACGTCTGGATTCTGTTCAATAAGTTTCAAGGTTCCATTGTATGTCAAAGGAAAACTGATGTTTCTTTTGTCATCCTGAGCAATAAAAAAAAATCCAAAAATATAAATAATAAACGCTACTTTTCTATGCATGTAATATACATATATATATATATATATATATATATATATATAGAGTATATATATATACCTATATATATATATATATATATATATATATAATAGATCAATATTTTCATTATTAATATTTTCGTCTTAGCAGCATTCTCGTCACACTTACTTCAAAATAGTCCTTCATGTTTTCAACAAAGCAACGTAATTCTGGCTTTCCTGTCACCACACTACGTCGAATCCACAGCTCATTTGTTTTTGAGGTATCCAAATCTCTAATGTATGTGCAAAAATCCTTGAAACAACAAAGGTGCATTAAACGTCACCATTTTTATAGAAGGGCGAGTATTTAATTGATAACCTTTATAATAATAATAATAATAATAATAATAATAATAATAATAATAATAATAATAATAATAATTATTATTATAATGCGCACACATCCACTGCAGTAGTGCTCAAGGCACACTAATATACATACATATATATACATATATATATATATATATACATAT